TTTCTTTATTTAGACAATAAAGGGTTGCCGCGGCTGCCGCGCTAACAAGGCAGCCAGCTGGCGGACAACAGCTGATGCCGTTTGACAGTTCCTTTTATAGCTGTCTGTCAAACGGCATCAGCCAATAGAAACGGTCTGTCTTCCCGCTGGAAACACGGACTGGAGTGAAGACTTCGGCTTAGTCCATTGCGAACGCTACATGCCTCAAATGAGAACTCTAGATCAATTTCTTCTATGCTCTATTAATTTGTTTTTCTTCAACACCCAAATTCAGAAGCACTAACATTCTTTTTATCCTGTGTTTTCTTTGTTTCATACTTAAATCAGTGCAGTTCTGATCTTAGAGATGTGTTAGGCCATCTGAGTATCTTTTCCAAGGATTGTCTGTGAAGTCTGATTAATATTATTCAGTCACAGATTGCATTATGTCTAAGCAGTGTTCCTGCTGTTCCTTCTTTCTTTTTCATGTAATGAGTAGTATCCAATTTCAGTCCGATTCAGTTTCTTGATGCCTAGTATCTCAATATACAATCCATTTTATCTCTGAGTTGAACTTTCCATGTTTGTACTTCTTATGTCCCACATTCACCCTGTAATTCTTTCTTTGCAACCTTGCTTTCCTTCTCTGCATGGCAACTTTAGCAATCAAATGTCTGGAAGGCTTTAATGGATACTAACCAAATGTCTGGAAGTAATCATAGATCCTATTAGTACTTCAAAAGATCCTCAGTTCTTCTAGTAACATGTAGTTTGTCATTTGACCTGACAGGCCCATCATCTGGCATTATCGGTAATTTCATTTAAATTTATTGGCCACTCCAATTTTATAGTGTCTATTCATGGGTTTTTTCTTGATAAAATAGAAGTAGTTTACCATAGTCTTCTTCTGCACAATACGAAATGATGGTTTTTCTGCTGTCACTAATAGGATCATCTTCCTCCAATATTCTCCTATACTGTATTGCTGGAAATAGTAATGCAAACATGCTCATAATCTATTAAATTATTGCTTCTAGTTTCAGTGTGTTTTCTTAGGGATTATCTTGTTGGTTATTAACTACTTTAAACTATCATAAGAACATTCCTATTGAATCAGACATTTGGTTTCTTACAGTAACCAACCAGATGCTTAAAGTGAAAGAACTACAAGTAAGTGAGATGCAAATATACATAAAAACAAGTTCATTTAATGGAAATACTGATACAAACACAAATAAAATATATGGAGCTGAGTAAAACTTTCCAGTTTGTAAGCAAGAAACCACAACCGATTCCAGCTTTTGCTTCTACTGTATATCCGATGTGAAGACTGCTATTCTAATTCTGCACTCCCCTCTCCCTTCCCCCAATTATATTACATTAACTTGTGACTCAGAAGTTAGGAAATGGCCCTAAAAACCTCAAAGAGCTTTAAATATCACCAGATGACACTTCAGATTAGTTTTAACCCTCAGTTTTAACACTTTTTAGCTGAAGTGACAAGAGTCCAAGTCAAATGATGGATAGAGCATGAATGCTTAATATGTGCATTTTTTAAAAATGACAAAAAGCAACAGATCTATAGTTACAGTCTTGAAAGACCACTTCCTGAGGTTTAACTTCCAATGCAAATAGCAGGCAGGATAAAATATCCCCACGGGGAATTTTCTACGCAGAGAGAAAGAGAGATTAATCTCTCCTATCACACGCATGCCCTAATTTCCTGCAGCTGCTTATTGAAATTTTTAAAAATGCAAAAAAATTGCATTTTTGCAGTGATCACTACATTTAAAAAATGAGCATGTCAACGATTCATTTGATTGTGTAGTATATACGCCCTCTTAAATTACAGTTTAGAAATCTTAATGATTTCACATCTCTACTAGACTCAACCTTGACAAGTTTAACATGTGTGGACTTCAACATCCAGCATTCCCCAGCCAGCCTGCCTCTGGGGAATGCTAGGAGTTGAAGTCCATGCATCATAAAATTGCCAAGATTGAGAAACCCTGCACTAGACAGTGGGAATGACTAGATGGGGATCCTCATTCATTATCTCCCAACCTAACCTCCCTAACAGATTATCAATAGGAAGGGTGGGGGGAAATCGTGTATTATGAGTTCTTAAAGGAGAAATAATTAAGGCAAACTTTTTTTTAATCTGTTAAAGGCAACATGGCTGCATGGGCAATATGCTGGGAATTGCATCATATGCTTTCTGCAGAAATCAAAAAGTCAGAGCCAAAGATGATGTTAGGGCCACTTATTTACTTTTATTCCTAACCTCTTCTTTTGATCTCTGATACCTTCTTTCCTTTCTTTTTTCCTTCTACATTCAACCGGCTATGGGATAACTTTTCTAAAGGTCAAATATAATCAGTTGAAAGAACTTTGGAAATTATGTTGGTCCACATGAAATTAAATCCAATCAATCAATCACTCCAGTTTATTGCTGTCATAGACTAGTACAAATGAAAAACAAAATAAAGTTTAAGACAGGATTAAAAACCAGTTAACTAACATCTATAACAGAGATCCAGGATGTTGACTATATTAAAGTATAATGTGAACACTAAAATTATGAAATTAAGTCAAATATTCCAATTGGGAATTATTTCAACGAGAAAGTGAGAAAAAAGAAACAGACTTGGGCAATCACACAAGTCATTTCAAATTATTTCCCAATTGCTACGAGTTTTTTAAAGTGCAATTCCTTTTGTTGTGACACTCTGTGGTCTGCATTTTATAGATTGACTTTGTGAAGGTTAATAGAGCTATGGTTTTCTGTTTGGGAATACAGTAATCTGTTTGGGAATGACACAGATTGATATGTTTGACAGATACATTAGATCTAGTGCTTCCTTAAGGAAAATGACACAATTGTGTGTGGCCTTCAGGTTCTGTGGATAGAGTCCAGGAAAAACAAAATAGTGTTTATTATGTCATTTTTCTTTACTAAGGTGATACAAAACTATTGCATTTCAGAGAAGGTTACCAAGCAGATTTGTGCAAAATCATCTAAGAATGTTAAGAATGGAGACACAACTTTTTATATAAGGAAATAAATGACAGCATAGACAAGAACAGTAGAATTAGCAGGGAGGAGGGGCAGTGAAAAAATCAAGATGGCAGTGTGAGCAAAGCCACACCTCTTTGTGTATTTGTGCAATACCCACGTCTCTACAAGATGAGCAGGAGTTTTGATTATGACACTGTGACCACTTTTGACTTCTTACCCCTCTACAGTATCATTGTATGAAAGACACACTGGCTTATATATAAATGTTGATTGAATTGATGCATAATACTAAACATCATATGCTTAGTTCTAATAATTTCTCTCTCTCTAATAAAACATGATTATGATTTTTGACTTACCACAGAGTGAATCCTTCTTTGAAAATGACAGTGGTTGTGTTTGTGTATGCCTCTAGCTTCACATGTTGTTCCTGTTAATCAATTATGGTCACTGCTAGACAAATCATGAAGACTGCAGTGCAGACTGCAAGGGAGATGAGACTGATTCCATCACTTCTGAGCTCCAAAAGTACCTCAAGACTTGGTTATACTAGCCAGCCTAGAGAATCCACGGGACTGGGGAGCTAGTGAGGTGGCTTCATTATTGCTATTATTGTTGTTGTTTGCGTCCCTTTGTCTACTATTTCTGGTCTTAGCTTTGTTTTTATATTTTTAATGTTTGATGATGATGTTGGGTATTTATTGTTTAAGTTTTGTTATTTGGTGGCCAGAGTCGCATGTTTTGTGAGATGGATGGTTATATCAATTGGCTAGATAAATAAATAGTCACCTTGTAGGGGGAGATGGGTAGCATAAAAATTAATTTAATAAATAAATAGCCCTGCCACAATCTACAGAGACTAAGCATTCCATGCAAACACATGATACCCAGATTCATTCATTCTATTCACAGCATATTCACATCTGATACAATTGCACATCTCTCCATATATCTTTAGTGAAGTATGCATACTGAATCCTGGTTTTTATACACATCTCTCTTCCCTTATTAAAGGAAAGTACTTATTCAGTCTAAGGGGCAAGGCTACAACTCTCTTGTCATTCACTTAGTTGAAGCAATTTACTTTGCTTTTACTTTTATGTAGTTCTAAAATGTGAAATGGGCTGAGAAGCCAAAATGAAGTAATAATATGTGTGTTTTATTACTACACACACTGAATTTCAGATTTGGTGCAGAATACACATTTGGACAAAGACTTGGTTCAATTATCAAACTGGCTCACAATATGGTTTGTTTGTAACTTAATCTCTTACTCAAACCCAGCCACATGTGCTTTGTTCTAAGTAAAATATGACTTAGTCATTGCATAAATTCATCTCAATGTGAACACACATATTACACTGAGTAATGGCTTAACCAAGGCCGACAGAAGGAATCACAAATGGTTCGGTTGAGACAATATGCAGTCAAAACCAAACAAACAATTTAGCAAGATATGTTAATAAGATCCTGTGCTCTACAATGTGGACAGCTAATAGATCTCTGGAGGATTTACACAGATCAGCAAGAATTTCTGACTCATTACTTAATCAGCAGCTATGTAGCCCCCACAATCTTTCCACTTAAATTGTGTATTACTGCTGAAATGAATAAAAGGTGGAGGCAGAGAAAAATAATTATGCATGTGTGGAAGGAGAGATATGCATTTCCTTCAACGTCATTATTTATTGGTTAATGGATCTTACTGTTCCAAAATAAATTGGATCCTATTCTTCTAAGAATTCATAGAATATTGATAACCTAAAGATTTATAGTTTAGGATGACAGTAATGAACATAATAACAACAACAAATATTTTGCTCTGAATCTGATTTTCTCATTTATAAAAGAGCAGGACTCTTATTTCTAATGTTTTGTTCATCTGTTTAACAAAAAAAAAGCATAAATTTCAGTAACAGAACTTTTTGAAAAATCCATTATTTAAAAATGGTGATTATTCATTTAAAAAAGAAAGTACAAGCATATAAATGAAAAACCTATCAATTTTTAGAAAAATATTTTAATTAGTGAGTTAATTATCATAAACTTACAAAATACTGCAAACAAATTTACATTACTTATTTACATTTGTCTGAAAAAACATGATACACCGAAAACATGAATTTCACACACCAGTCTCAAACATATGAACGGAATCCTATTATTATTTTTGAAGCTGGTCTTTCAACAATTAAACGAAGGAGGTTCTTGGTTTCAGCTTTTTCTGCTGTGATTATTCTTTAAAAACAGACAGACAAACTAGCGTGACTAAAACAAATCTTAAGCATGAAGATCTATTGCTTTGGATGTTTCTTTTGGGCTTAATGGGTTCATGTAGTTGTTCAATTCTCCACTATACCCTAGCAATATATAGATGAAAGCATCCCTTTTGCTTCTTCAGACACAGTTTGCTAAAATTCAGGCAAAGCCTAAAGAATGAGTCAAATCCCATCTCCTTTAGGCATCTGTTGAGGCCACAAATGGGATGCTAGCAGGTTGCAGGCAGTCCCTCAGCCACACATTTTGCATGCCAGCACAAGAAACAGCCACACAAGTTCACAGTGTCTGATTTCTGATCCCCTCTATTGTCATTCCTATAAGACAGGGGTGTCAAACTTGTGGCCCGCAGGCTAAATGTGTCATGTACTGGCCATGCCCACTCCTGGTTTAGCGAAGGGGTGGTGGAAAGTCACAATACATCACGTGATGACAATGTGATGTTGCAAGTTTGACACCCCTGCTGTAAGGCTTCCAGATTGCTATTAGCTCCAGAGATAATGGCTCCAATCTAACTTTGGCATATATTGTGTAAATGAGACCTCATTTTCAAATTTTGTGGACTGTTGGGTTATTACTTTGGTTCCATTATCAGCAAGTTTCTCTCCGATAATCTAAACTATGGGGTAAAAAAGAAGGACTTTCTTTATATAATAATTAGAATAAATATTTTTTTCATTTAATTGTATAACAATGCATTTTAGAAATGTATACTATTTACCTTATAGGAAATCTTTTATCAAAACTCTAAGCTCAACTATGACTGCCAGATGTCTAAACTGCATTATCCATGTAATACAGTTTATATATAATTTATAATTAGGGTTCATAATTTCTTCCATATTTATTTTCTCCAAGAAAAAAATTGACAATTGCAATGGCTCCCTTAAAAATCCATAGGATGTATTTATTTGGGAATAATTTATTACCCACCTCATCAAAATTTCCTGTGGTTTTACATAGGTTCTGGTATGCCTTTCATTTTGGTAGCAATGTGGGGGTTGGTAATCTTGTTTCTTATTACATAAATTGAAATATATGAATGGGCAGGAATCTGTGGCCCTTTAGATGTTTCCAGGCTCCAATTTCAATCCACCAGCATAGCTCATTATCAGATATGATGTAATCCAACAGCATCTACGGAGTCACAAGTGCCCACAACTTCAGTATGTATCATACTGCTACTATCCTTTGGTTTTAATGAGAAACATACACATATATAATTAATAACAAATATGATAACCATAAAGAGATGAGTACAAATTATAAGCATTCCCATAACACTGATCAAGTAGCTTCAAGAGGGCAGTTAGCCTTTCATGCATGATAAACAGCAGCAAAGGATTGTTCGGCAAGGATGTTTTCTCCGGTATTCAAGTGCTTTCCTCACTTCGTCTTTAGCATCCCCAACATATTCTTGGACATTCTGCATGTTCAATGCAATGACATCAAAGGTGTCAGCCTGCTCTTCCACCAGCAATGCCACCTGTAGGAAAAGTTCATGGACCTCTTTGATTCGAGATTCAAGCTTCATCAGCTCTTTGTGCCGAGTTTCTATCTCATTCAAGGCAGAGCGAGCTCCTTTTGCGTCAGACAGCAGGTTCTCGGAGAATACATCCCATCGGCCTTGCTCAATTATGTCCTCTATCTGGTTTCCAGATACTTCTTTGCCCATGATTTCCAGCTGCCGCTGAATCCTAATTTTGCAATTGTCTCGCTCTTTCATCTCAGTTTCATTGTACTTAAACATAGCTTCCTGAAAAGCATGCATGAGATCGACGTAATGGTCCTTGCACACACGGGTTACAATTGTATTTTCACCATATTTTGTTTCTGCATCTTCACTCAGATCTCTCAGAACCTGAAGTTTTCTGTGGATCTCTTCCCCACGGGCCTTAATGTCCTTTGCTATAGTGTTTGTGTCTCGCTTTATGCTACTGAAACGACGCATTGATGTCAGGAAACGGCTGTTTTGTTTGCCCAAGCGTCTCACATCTTCCTTCAGACGGTGATTGTTTGTTCGAATCTCTTGAATGTTTTTGTAAAGATTTGCTATGGCATGGTCAGTTTCAAAAAGAAGCATTTCATGAGGTCTTTGAAAGTCATCCTCGGCATCTCCACTATGTTGGCTGTACAGCCTAGATAATTCATAAAACTCCAAGAGTCTGTCTCTCATTTTTGTCCTAGGAAGAAAAAGCAAGTAAGTCAGATCGCAGTGATGAAGACAGATTTCTTTTAATTACCATATATGAATTGAAGTTTGATATATCACATCTTTCCATATTAATCAGAAATATTCCATATTAATCAGAAAAAAATACTATCAGAAAGACACTAACTTTCTGATTAATTACTGAATTTCATGAATCCCTTTGTCCTATTGACAAATCAGAATATTTATAGATCCCCTTTGTAGAAGTAGGAAATATTTAACTCAACCTTTCCCATTCTAAGACCCTCCAAGTCTAAATTTAGAATATTCTTACTGAGTAACACAGTATATCACAGATATACGTAGAGGATACTAGGCTGACAAATAGTATAAATCACAGAAGTGTACATTGCAATTCAAATAGAAAACAAAACTGATGTATATCAAAGCCAAGAAATTTTCTGTGCAATAATTCTGTACAAAAGCAGAATTTCCCACATGAAATTTAAACCAAAAACCTGCGGAAAATCTTATTGATATTGGAGTTATTCAGAGGTGGTATTCAGCAGGTTCTGACCCGTTCTGGAGAACCAGTAGCAGAAATTTTGAGTAGTTCAGAGAACTGGCAAATACCACCTCTGACTGGAGATTTTACACTATCCTTCCCCTGCCATGCCCACCAAGCCACACCCACAGAACCAGTAGTAAAAAAAATTGGAGTTATTTTAAGAAGATTCTCCAGTAGATATTTTTGCTATTTGTGCAGTTTCGCTTCTAACTACCTCAGAAGAGCTGATCTCATAAACTTGTCTACTTACTGTTTTATGTCCACTTTTGAAAAGTCAGTCAAATATTTAAATATTATTCATTACTTATCATCCAAAGCCTTCCAGTATTTCATTTATTCATTATACTTTTATTCATCTGAAGATTTCAGGGGGGTTATAGCTCTGAAAAATAGGCTGGGCTGAGACAATAGTGAATGGATCAATTTAAACTCTGGGCTGGGCTTCAGGTTCTGTCTTACCTTAGCACTACATTCAGTCCACTACAATTGACTGCTTCTCTTGGACACCAAGTGGCAGCTGGAAAATAAATACTTCCATCTGGTCAGAGTTTGAGTTTATAAAGATAATAGCCACAAGCTCAAACCTCTTAGATATGAACCCATAATTCAGAATTAATTTATTAAGAGGCCATTAAATATGCTAATGATTTACTGAAGAGATTCCCACACTTTTCAGCTCATTGACCCCTTCATGAAGTTCCACACTGTTCACTGAACCCCATGCTACTTTAAGTAACAGTACTATGAGTAATAATGACTTTGAATAGTCACATTGGCCATTGGAAGTCAATATTGATGATTTTGGGGACCCCTACTTTACTGGGATTGTCATGCCAGTCAATCAGTCGAACATCATCCATGGGGTGGTGGGGGCATAGATGAATTAAAATATCAAAGATACAAATATCTTCCATTAACTATTTTAAATATTATCAGCTGAATCTTGACCAGAGTAAATTATTCCATGAAGCTTTATTTTATTTTTTTTGCACTTGAGTCAGAAGCCCCAATGCACATCCAGGTTGAAAGGATTAGACACATTTGCCCTTGGGATGCCCAGTTGGGGGCTCCTTTCATATCGCCAGCAGGAGCTAGAGTGAAAGACGAGAGCTCAACCCCACTCCTTGGCCTCTCGGGTCTCGAACGTGGGCTTGCTAACCTCTTGCCCAGCATCCTAACCACTTGTGGCACCACACTCTTGTATGAAACTATCATGCTGGCTAAATTTGAACTATTTATCTGAGTTGCAGCATAAATCCTTCCTTGGCATAACGTTTCCTAAAAAAACCCAGCTTTTATTTAGTAATCTTATATACTAATTTTTATTTCCTTTTTTAAACATTGAAGCGCTTGATAACTAGAGAGCAGATGCAGCATCGTAAATTAATCACCTCTACAGACACATTAAACACTAGTAGTTAATAAATTCACAATTTCGCAACTAAACTTTACAAATTATATAATTTCAAATGTACTATTTAAGTAAAATGACTGTTTTAAAAATATTTATCCAACATTTAGCTTCTCAGTAAATATCCTTTTTTGGTCAACCAAATACCCATCACTAATGTTTCATAAGAAAATGCCTTTAAAGTAAAACCTTGTAATAAACAACAGCAAGGTAGAATTTGAGATTTATATACATAGAGTACAAGAGGATTTAGGTATCCAGAAATAAACTAAGGTTATGTCAAGTTGAGAATGATGCTTCCATCTTTCCAGTCAAACTGCATTCCTTACTCTTACCACACTTTTCATGCTACATCTACATTTGACATGTTACTCAAGATTAGAAACCTCTGTCCTTCCACTCAGTATTCACAGCATAATATGTTTCTTATTCTTTTGAAACAAGAATCAAGACGTGCACTACTTTGAAAATAATCGCTGTTGCAGTAACAAACAGGAAATTTGGCATTGCAAGGCATTACAAATATACCTGCCCTGGTGAGATTTCACCTCCAGTACTAAATACAGTTCAGAAGACCACCATTTAAGAAGGATTCAGACAAACTGGAACTACTTCACAGAAGGGCAACCAGGATGATTCAGGAGCTAGTAATTAAATCCTGTGGGGAAAAAAGGATACAAGCATTTGTAATATTTAGCTGAGGAGGATATGATAGTAGTTTTTAAATACCTGAATATTGCATGAGGCCAAGACATGTTCCCAAGCATTCCAGATGATAGGGAAGAAAATCATATTTAAATTACAGGAAGCAGATGCCAAGAAATTATTAGCAAAGCCTCCTTAATATAAGAGCAACTGAATAGCAATAGCAATAGCACTTAGACTTATATACCGCTTTATAGTGCTTTACAGCCCTCTCTAAACAGTTTACAGAGTCAGCCTATTGCCCCCAACAATTTGGGTCCTCATTTTACCCACCTCAGAAGGATACAAGGATGAGTCAACCTTGAGCCTGGTAGGATTTGAACTACCAAATTGTAGGCAGCTAGCTGCAGAAATAGTTTGCAGTATTGCACTCTAACCACTGCGCCACAGAGGCTCCTTCCTGTGAATGGTGGACCCAGAAAGATGCCGTTGGTTCCTAAACTCCAAAAGGAGTTTAGACAACTATTTGCTAGGAATGCTAGTTGGAATCTAGCACTAAGCGCAAGATTTTCAACAAGATTCAATGGAGTAAAGCAGTGATTCTCAACCTTGGCAACTTTAAGATGTTTGGACTGATTCTCAAGGTTCCATACATTTTAAAGTTGTTTATGTTGAGAAACGCTATCTAAGCAACTCCCCTTCTAGCTCTATGGGGCGATAATTCTGTAGACAGTTTCTGTCTACAACTGGGAAGATGGAAGTCAAGGATTTTCTAATAAGATTCACTCTTAGGTCTTTCAGTCCATCCCATTCCAAACTACCGTAGTTGGTTGGGCCAGTATGTAGATTCAATTTCACTTACAGTTAAAATTAAATATATTTGATAGTTTCCTGTCAAGTGTTTAATCATGTGCCTTTTTTGTCACAGTACAAATGGCAGTTTGATAAGGGCTTCTAGAGGTCTGTGGGAACTATATGGATAGATGTGGTTTAGAAGAAAGACAAAAGGAAAGCTTCTAACCATTTCCTCCCTGTGTTTTATGAGATGGCACAATCCACAATACATCACATATCTGATTAAATTCTAAATTCATAGGTAAACCAGTGGCAGCCAGACTCATAAGCTAAAGGAAATATTGCTAATCACATCTTCATGCAGAAACACCCACAGTTCTTATACAACAGCCATGGTACACATTTTGAAAAGTTGTGAGGATTATGTTGCATTAACACTACAGCCACAAAATATTTTGAAAATTTTTGTGCTGTCTGTGAATTATTTCAATCAGACAACCTTCAAATGCACATAATAAACTTAGTTTGCATTGGTCCCCCAAAATCCAAAATCCAGGAACAATACAAAATTAGAATAGTTAAAATTCTATCCATTTATAGTTTTTATTATATTTCTGTTTTTAAAAAGTGGATGCCTACCATCTAGATATCTAGAAGGTCTAATAATGTAAGGGAAAAAACTCTTTTTTGTAGAAATATTAAAGAGGTACGGCTTATAGGATAAATAAAAGGAAAATAAAGTAAGGAGATAATTAATTACAGTAGAAATGAGGGGAAACCCATGATTTCTCTCCGTCAAACTGACCTTTCACTAATCTCATCCCATCATTTTCTCCTGGGTTTTAGTTTGTATTCTATAAGATTTGGCATTGATTTAAATTGAAATTCCCCAAAGTGGTCAATATCAACAACTCTGGTATTGATAAGTGGCTGGAAGTGTCAAGGGGAATCAGTAAATGTGTGATAATTAATAGGAACAAACTGAATCTACAGTAGAAGAGCATGGTGGCTACTAAAATATACCAATCTCCATCCATATATCAGTACCTTTATTGATGCTCATCAGATGCATCCCCCCTATTTATGATATTAACAGGTTCAGTAAAAATGATATTTTATATTTTCAAATTTTAAATATTGCCTATTTTTATGAAGTCATTATTGTTTTTCAAAGATTAAAGTAGCATTTATTAAATTATTTTCATATACATTTTTCATAGTCATCACATCCCCTATAATAAATGCTTGGGATTTGATGAGCAATCTGGAACTTCATAAAGGGGTTCATGACTTTGAAGAATTTGGGGGCTTCTGATTCAAATGATTAATAATGTAGCATGATACATTCTGCTTCAGAAACCCCTCCCATTGGAAGTAGAATTGGCTCCATATTTTAGGACAAGAATTGCTGGTATCCTTTAGAGTGTCATTCTCAGAATGAAGCTTTTAGATAATCATACATGAATTTCCTCTATAGCTGTTTTTCTGCTCACAGCTGGCAGTTCTGTTTTTCATCACGAAAGCCCCGAAGTGACCAAACTGCTACTGTATATGGCTTTGCCTAGTAATGCTGTGACAGCAGAGCTCTTTGGCAGAAGGCTCTTATAGATCTGTCACATCCTTCTAATTCTGCTACAAAGACATCCCACTAACCACTCTCAGAGAATGTGTTCTTGAGATATTGTCTTTATCTTGTTCCTAGTCCGCAGCAGAGGCGAGCTTTCATTGGGCTATGGCTGTAGTTTCTCAACGGTATTTGTTTTCCTTGACAATCAATCAACGACGCTTTGCTGACAATGTGATCAATCATTTGGTGAGGGCTGGGATCACGTGCCAAATTGGTCACTTTAAGCTGCCCCCCCCCTCTCTCTGATGGTTTAGTATTGTTCTACATGGCCTTTTTGGATTGGACTTCAGGAGAGATTGGATATCTGCTTTCAGAGAGGTATTGGCCTACATATAGACCTGACCAGGACCTTCCAAAGCACTCATCAAGTCTTATTTGGGTTCTCAATTTTAAAGAAATAGAATTAATGCA